TTTATTTATTTTTATGTGGTACTGAGGAACGAACCCAGGGTCTCGCATGTGCTAGGCGAGAGTGCTCTACCACTGAGCCACAATCCCAGCCCCGAAGAATTTCTTAATGAGAAAAGGATAAAAAATTTTCTCCACATACAGACTAGTGAATCTTGGAATGATAAACAAAAATAGTAAAATCACACTTTTTCTATAACAAATTACACATTATCTTCTATAGGAATAGCTGTTGTACATGAAAAAATAAAGATGTAACCACTATGTTGCACACCCAGGAACATTAGGGAATTTGGTCTTAGAATGATTTAGTTACCTTTTCCTGTCCATCATCGTTTCTTTTCCTTTTTTTTTTATTTAAAGAGAGAATTTTTTAATATTTATTTTTTAGTTTTCAGTGGACACAACATCTTTATTTTATTTTTATGTGGCGCTGAGGATCGAACCTGGTGCCCCGCGCATGCCAGGCAAGCACACTACCGCTTGAGCCTCATCCCCAGCCCTCTTTTTTCCTTTTCTTTTTTTTTGTTGTTGTTTTTAGTTGTAGATGGACACATACCTTTATTTTATTTAGTTAGTTTTATGTGGTGCTGAGGATCAAACCCAGTGCCTCATATGTTAGGCAAGCGCTCTACCACTGAGCTACAACTCCAGTTCCTGATCTATTATCTTTAATATCTCATTTCTTCTTCTTCCCCAAAAGACCTTCTTCCTCTTCTTCTCCTTCTTCAAAATAATCATCATCATCTCCATCCAGAATTCCTTCATTAAATATAATAAGTTCACTTCCTCTTCTCTCTCTCCCAATTCTGGCTCTGCTACATCTTTATCCTCCTCCTTATCTTCCTCTTCTTTCTCATACTCTTCAGATGAACCAGCTTCATCTTCTTCATCTCCATCCTATTCATCTTCCTCTTCTGAGTCTGGTCCTTTGTCACCCTCCTGACCAACTCTATCTGAGCATGTAACTTATTGCAAAAGTTCAAAAATACTTTATAATTTTCTAGGTTTGTGATCTCAGGGTTAAACAAGTYGAAACTCCTCAAATTTTCAATGTTTTGCAGAGCTTCTACTATACTGAGATGTTTGATTTTATTTCCATTCAGACTGAGGTAGATAAGATTTGGACAAGGTTCTGCCAGGACTTCCAASCCTCCAGAAATTAAATTGTCAATAAGTTCCAACTTTCAAAGTTTAGATAAGCTGATAAGTTGGGTCAGAGAACTTAATTTCATGTTGGCTATACTCAAAAAATCTAGTTCTTTAAAAGTGTTATCCAGGCCCTCAATTTCCCCACTGACATATAGGTAATTATCAAGACCTAACTCCACCACCTCCTCCACACTTTGTTCTTTAATCCTTGCTACTCTCCTCCTTTCCCCATTCCTGCCACTCCCACTATCCCCCAACCCTAAAATTTTAAAACATTTGGAAATCAATGGAAAAAAAAAAAAACATAAATAGAAACACACACTACCTCCAGATAGGTGTGGGGGACAAAGAAAAGAATTAGCATATGGAGCCAAGGAGTTGGGACTCCAGCCGCCCACGCCTCCTTATCTACACATGCATGCATGCATGCACACACACACTAGCCATTCCTTCCCCTTCAATGGCTGAGCCTCCAAGACAGGGCAGTGCCAACCAACCCCCTACTCTACATTTCCAAGAATCTACTTTTGCCATCCCATGTTCTCACTCAAGGATCATTACTCACAGTTTCAAACAGTTCTTCCATCAGTTCATTCACTTCCTTTTCTGTGAAAAAGCCAAAAAGTAGGTTGTTGGCAGAAATTATTTTCATTTTGCAGTAAGGGAATATCTATGGAGACAATGGATGCTGTTTCCCACAAAGCATCTAACAAAATCCTCATCTCTATMCTTCATTCATTCAAATCAAAAACACTTATGGAACAACAACTATACTACCTATTCAAGGTATTTGGGATACAGAAGAGAATGAAAGAGAAAGTTCTCCTTTCATGAAGCTTAAATTTTAGTGAGAAGACATCAGAAAATGTGACCTGAATGATTTTACAATTAGATACATTCATAGTTGGTTGGCCTGTTTAATTATACAGCACTGACTGGATTCAAGAAGCAAGTCTTACAGGGCCCGGTATATATACCTGCAATCTCAGAATACCTATAATCCAGGATACTGGGGAAATTGAGGCAGAAAGATCACAAGTTTAAGGACAGTCTGGGCAACCTGGTGAGACTCTGTCTCAAAATCAAAAATACATAAGGGCTGGGGCTATAGCTCAGTAGCAGAGTACTTGTCTAGCAAGTGTGAGGCAATGGTTTCGATCCTTAGCACCACATAAAAATAAAAAAATGTATGCTGTCCATATACAACTACAAAAAAATTAAATACATAGATAGATAGAAAGGTAAATAAATATGACTGGGAATACAGCTCAGTGGCAGAGTGTTCCTGGGTTCAATCCCCAGTAATGCAAAGAGAGAGAAAGAGAGAGAGAGAGAGAGACAGACAGACACATAAGTCTCCAAAAGTGTGTCACAAAATTGATGCATCTTTGAATCTAAACCATTCAGCAACTACATCAATGATTTAGAAGATTCAGAAAACACTCTTATTAAATCTGTAGATAACAGGAAGCTAGAAGGAAATGCCAATCCAACTAATCACAGATTTAAAAATCAGTATTCTCAAATCACCTAAATAGAATGGGTGGGGATAAATTTAAAGTCCTACATTTAGGATTTTAAAAAGTCAGTTTCCTAAGTACATAAAAAGTTGACATGGTTTAAAAACAATTAGTCTGAAAAAGACCTAAAAGTTTCAGTTTACTTCAAGGTCAGTATGATACAGCTGCACCAAAATGATGCTCATATGCAGAAGACAGGCATATCACTAACTACAGCAGAGCCTTAGACCACATCTAGAGGACTCTGAGCTATAAAAGTCCTTCTTCAGAGAGCATAAAAAAGTGTAAAACTG